AATGATGAGAATCAAAATAGTCAAATAACAAAGTTGGTTTCGCGTTGGAAGGGTGCCTGGTTTCCAACCAGGCGCCCTTCCAACGCCCCAAAGGATGCCACATCTTTTTGAAAGGTGTGATGATACTTTACCTATGTATAGCCTAGGTCTCACGTCATACGTCTGTTTCGTGCTGGTGAACATGTAGAGAAGAAAGATCGATAACGAGTAAAGCAAGAAAGCTTTGATCACTCTTGATTCAAGAAGCATAGCATTGTGCAAGGTGAATAGTTTGTCTAAGGCAAGAAACATGCTTGCTTGTTTAGACTCAAAAGTTTCCTGTTGACACAAATTTGATGAAAATTAATGAACAAGTACAAGAAATTTAAGTGAATATGATGATTTGAGAATTAACAAACCTGAGCAGCTAATATTGATTTTGATTTCTCAACTAGATGATCATGAGTTTGTTGTAGTTGTTTTTGCCTTCTTAGAAGCTCCTCTTGTTGCTCGTGTCCGAATTGAGCCAATTGTTTCAGAGTTCCCCTGTAAAAGTATTAACATATTGCATTACATCAATCCTCAAATGTCGCGGAAACACTTAACAATACACTTACACTATAAGGTTAAGTTGACCTACGACAACAAGTAATGCATATAGTCGTAAGGAACATAAGAACCACACGAGAAGTTATGGTTGACGAGTTTTTACCTGCTCTCTTCAAGTGCTTGAGACTGAAAATTATGAAGAAGTTGAAGGCCATCAAGAGCTTTATATTGTTCATCCAAAAGTTGTTTCTGTTTACTCAAAGCTTGGCCAGCAATATTCCCAATATCATTGGCTTTATTCTGCAATTTATCCATCCTACAACTCATTTCATCTCCAACTTTCACAATCTCGTCTTCAATGTCCTCCGTTTTAGTCCTTAAACCATCGATCCCATGGTCTAGATTAGTATACGATTCATGAACTATCGCCATGTTTTCGTGCAAACTCTCCTTCATTTTCGCCTGGCCTTCGTTCAACTCTAGTTGGGAAGATGCTATCCCTTTAGATTGCTCCAAAATTACTTCTGACTGACTCAACACAGCGTTCACCCGGCCTTCAACGTTCTTGGAAGTCTCTGCTACTTGTTGAGTACGAACATCAATCGAGGCTAATGATTCTTGAACATGTTTCGAATTTTGCAATAGCAAATCCCCTACATTTAGTATGTTATCTAATTTTTCCTCGGCAAATTCAGCGGAATCCTTCAAACTATTCACCAACCTCTCTGTTACATGCTTCCATGCTTCTCTCCTGCAATCATCAAAATGCATAAGAGCCTCTTTACCTAGTGTATAGTATCGTTAAATTCATCGTCATGTAACAACAAAAGTCTCATTTTATATATCACTTTTGCTTATTGTTTAGTAATAGTCTTAGTAACTCTACAATATATCCAACTTTTCTATATAATATTGTAAGCTTATAATTCATATTATTGATGTGTGGCATTATGTACAACAACAACAACATACCCCGTATAATCTCACAAGTGGGGTTCGAGAAGGATAGAGTGTATGCAAACTTTACCCCTACCTTAGAAGGTAGACAGGTTGTTTCCTATACACCCTCGGCTCAAGGAAAAACATAGAAAAGCAGTTTGGGAAAAGAAATATGAAAGTGAAGAAATCACGACAAAATACCTAATGAAAACATTACAAAACAATCTGAAAAAAGAACAGTAACTACTGCAAAATAATACTATAATCGAAGCACAAGACAAAAATTGAAGATCAAGAAACTACTTACGACCTCTAGTATGACATTATATAACGACCGTCCAAATATTGTATTCATCAAAACAATATAGTTCAAATTAACCATGTGTCAAGAACCAAATTTGAAACATCCAAACAAGTTATTATGAAACATCCAATAAACTACCCCCAATACAATACATTATGAAACGATACGTAACAAATCATCCAAACAAGTTAGTATAACTTTCACTAAACCAAAAAAAGGGGGAAAAAAACTTACTGCAATTGCTGGCAAATGGCAGGGGTTTCAATATAGAAAGCCAAATAAATCTTATGAACATCATTATCCAATTTCTGTAAACATTTAGTCATTGATGATTTTGCATCACAATAAGGCAAAGGTGACCTTCCAGTATGTTGTTGAAAACAATCACATAAATTCCAAGAAAGTCTAGACTTTAATTCTTCATCAGGCAGAGCTTTTCTACATACACTAAACAAATTCTGATAACTTCTTTGCCAACAAGAATTTGTAATCAACATCTTTTGCTCCGCGTTTTCGATTAATTCAATTCCCTTTTGTGAATTCTCAAAAACATCCATGGAGAAATCAGACATCAACTTAACAACTTTGTTATTTGAAAATTTTTGTTGTTCTTGTTTATAATCATTCTTGTTATTCTTATTAGTAGAAAAGAACCAACCCCATGATGATGAACTTTGTAACAATAAAACTAACAACATAATCAACATCTTTTGTATATGAAATCGACCCATTTTTGTACTCAATCTGCATAACAACTCTGCAATTTCAAAATCGCAAAATTAAAAAGCTTATAGTAAAAAAAAATGTGATTTTTGAGTAATACATACACTAGAAAGTTAAAAAAAAAAAAAAAGTATATAAAGGTGTTTTTGGCAAACTTGGGGAGAAAGTATCATAGTTAAGTATGCATGTATGATAAGTATAAAAGAAAGAGACAAATTCTGGCTCCGACTCTAATGAAACTTTGATGAAAATTCACTAAAAAAAAAACTCATAAACAGGAAATTCTGACTAGTCCGGTGAGAAAACAACAATTTGGAATTATTTTCTTGTTTTACATAACGTCAAAAACAAGAAATTTCCATGTTTGGATTATTTTATGTTTTTGATGTACCTTTTCAATAATTAAAGTATTTCCAAAAGTGAAACTTTGTCTAGAGTTGGTAAAGATGAAGAAAAAGGAAATAAAACCATAAAAATTGAAGAATAAAGAAAATCATTGAATTATTTTAAAATTATAAAACAGTACCTTAGACGATGAATCTAATTAATTAAGTCTGAATTTTTATATTAATCATAAAATAGACGAACAGTTATTAATTTCGCGCCTTTTCAATACCGGTTGTGTCCGTTCCTTTTATTTCCCTCTTCTTGAAAATTAAGAAAAGAAAAATACAAATATCTGTTGTTTTTTTAGTTACTTGTAAGTGTGTTCCGTACGAAGTCAATTTTTTCATATTCGATTGATTGGTTAATAATTTTAACAAACAAATTTGTTAACAATGAGAAAAAATGTTTAATTTTCTTCTTAGTGAATATAGGATAAAACAAGTTATATTGCATATTCATCGTGTCCTTCTTACCCTCCAACAGATTGTATCTCGTGTCTCCCATCTCCATCACTCCACACCCGTAGCCCAACAACCGTCACTTCTCATAGTATTTGTTAGACCATTCATAGAAAAAATTTCGAAAACAATCTCTCTATTTTTACGAATTAGTGGTAAAATTTGTGTACAGAGACTACCTTTTCAAACCTTACTTGTGAGATTTCACTAGGTCTGTTGTTACTGTTGTTGATTTTAGAATAATATTTTTTTACTTACGTATTGAGAACAAAAAAATGAAAAAAATCCACTTATTTTTCACCCAAAAAAAAAACATTTTTCTTCATAACGAACTCACTATCGTATTTCTTCTTTTCTTATTCGTTTTTTAAAATCTTTTTTAAAATTTGTGATATGTGTGAATATAAAGTATTTCATTAATGATAAAATAGAAAGTGTAAAGTTAAAATAATTTTAAATATATAAATGTGTCATTATTTTTTAGATTGATTAAAAAAAAACACCGCATAAATTGACACAGATAGAGCAATATAATAGATGAGTCATCTATCATCCAAAAAATATATACTCTATATAATATAATATAATAAATATATTTAAAGAAGAACACATTGTGACAAGTGACAACTTAGGACTCCCGATGACCAGAACGCCACGGCAGCTCGAACCTTCTCTATTCTTTTTTTGGAAGAAAAAAAAAACTTATGAAAGAAATAATGAAAACATATATATATTTGAGTACTATTAAAGAATAATTTGATCAAAATGGGTATTAATAGAGTTTTAGAATTTGAAATTTTCTGGCACTTCTTATTTTTCTTGGTGTGAACTAGCAAAATAAATAAAGAGAATATCATTTTAAACATGTTATAAATAATCATTGACAGCAAAAAATAACATAATTCATCCATATAATACTCCCTCCGTCCCCTTCTCTTTTTCTTTTTTGATAATTATAGTATTTGAATCACCTTGCGCACACCTCTAATACCATAAAATATTTTTCACCTCCTACCAATAACAAATACCGAACAACTCTTTCCCCCCGAGCTTAGACAGATGAGTCCTTCCTTTCCATTTTAACGGTCACTTTAGCTTAAAAATTTTATCTCAAAATAATTACCACTTTAAAAATTTAAGACTAAAGTTGATAATTATTATAAATCATACTCGTAAATAAAAAGTCGTTCTTAATATTTCTCAATTTTCAAAAAGCATTCAGTTAATAAGTATAACTTAATTAACTACACTTTGTATTTACTAAATTTTATCCCAACTCAACTAGATCAAAGACTGTCATAAGCAGAAGCATCTCCCTTATTAAGAAGCATATAAACGACATACTAAGCATAAGAATATAGACTCTAAAGAAGGGAGAGGAATAGGAGGAGTATTTTTGAAGATTTTGGAGAAAATATTTGAAAGGTAGATCGTACTTGAGCATATCTGAAAACAAATTAAGCAAATTGAGGACGATAAAATATAAGCATTCCGTCAACTTTATTACCAACAAAGAATATGGTACAGTGGATGGAGTGAAAGAGATTGATCCACACCAAATAAAATTGGTAGAGTGTATTTACCCTGAATGGGCCTACCAAGCACGAATCCAATGTAAGTACCGGATAGAAAACCAAAAAAAAACCGCTAACTCTATTTCATTCAAATTTAAATAGAAAAAGATAAATTCAATTATTACGAGTCGGGACATTTTGCAAACAAAGACACTAAAAAACTGTGATATATCCCTTTCAACTGTTCTACAACAATGTCACTATGGGAAATCCCAGCCTTCTGTTCTTCTACATCATTAGTTTTCCAGACAATATAATTATGAGAGAACTGAGAATGCCAAAAGTGAGGAACAGGAAATGTCAAAATAAACATCTATACCCTCTATATACGTCCACCCAAAATCATGTGCGTTGCCTAAAATTACAATGGAATCAACGTTTTCAGCCACCTAAAACTGCTTAAATAAAATATGGTGTTGCTTGCCCACGTTTGGAGGACAAAAGTTAAATTACCACCGAGACATCACTGCATTAACTGTTAGCTGCCATCTTCTGATGATCCTAGTGCTGCTTCTTCGCGGGATTTTACATGCTCCATCAAAGGTATTGATCAGTCATTTAGAAGACTAGTTGTAGATCCGAACAGGCTTGTCAAAAGCGGGTCGATTCTGCAGTACCAATATGAGCCAGTTATACACCAACTAATATAAAGTATTATCACTTGTGCATTATTAAACTGGCTTTGGGTTGGCTTAATAAATAAAATGTTCTGATTTTTAATTTGAAAGGTAAGCCAAACAATATGTTCCTGAATTCTAAACAGGTTAATCTCACTGTGGTAGGATTTCAAATTTCAATACAAAAGAGCCACTGAGCCCACAGGTAAAAGATCAAGAGAAACCAATTTCAGGCAACCAAGAATCGCCAGCCATGAAGTAATCTTATAAAGTAAATATATATATAACATATATTCACGTACACAAAAGTATTCAGGTTCATTAGCATGTTGAAAGCTTAGAGCGAGTGTTGCGTTAAATTGACATATGGAGCTGATTGTTGCTCAACCAGTGTCAAAAGATATCTCAGAAAAAAGGACCTCAAAAGAAATTTAGCTATTATATTTTTGCATTTCAGTGATTAAAGACTTGTTGGTCCACTTGGATGGTTGCCTTATAAGCCCATCATCACCAGCATGACAGAAAAAGTAGCATACCTGGTTGGAAGCATATGACCTTTTAGGACCATTGTCAGCATGCTCTAATCCCAGATACTGCTCCCAAGCACCATAAACATCTCTCCTCTGGAAACCAATTAGGAAACAGAATAATCAAACATTATACAAGGACTATAGAGGGAGAATATGGACGGAAAAGGAGTAAATACCTGAAAACGAATGGATACAATATCTGAATCCCGGAGGTAGTCAGGACGGCCCATGGACACAAACGCAAACATCCACTGCATAGTGAAAGTAGAACGTGTAAATAACTAGAATAAATAAAACACATGAACCCTCTATACTAATACTGAACCTAGAAATTTTCCAAGATTACTCGGTATAGAAACAACGATGCAAAGCAAGGAAGCTTGAATACCTTTGAAAACTCCTCATCTGGAACCTGCAATTTTCTCTGAATGCGCGCTTTAACTTCAGCCAGTGTCTCACCCTCATGAATAACCAGAAAAAATGGCTCGCCAAAGTTTTGTACATGCTGCTAAGGGATGGAATCAAAAACAATTAACTGAGGATAGAACCTCCACCATATACACTGATTGTAACTATAGCTATATATATATATCAGGAACTTGTCAATTTCGACAGATGTACTTACTGCTTGATTTTGAGTTGTGTCCTTTGTAAAATGGTAAACATGAATCAAGCGATCAAGAGGACCCAGGTTTTTCTCCTCTTCAGGGATCTGTAATGGAGAAAAGTTAAGACATTAATTAGATAAACATCTAAGAAATGTAGACAATATTACAACTCTAACTGAAGGCTATAAACTTAAGTTGATTCATCTCCAGACATATGTTTTTCTCTTTATTGGTGAAGACTTTAGACCTTTTTCTTCCCTGATTTATTTGGTCGGTCCAGTCCATAAGTATATACGTGGAGAAATAAACAGGACAACACCAATGACCTAAGCAAAACCCTTAAGACCAGCTGGACCGTAAAACACCAATGACCTAAGCAAAACCCAAAGGACCAGCTGGACCGCAAATACTCAATGTTGCCCGCACAGCAGCACCACAACATTAACGGAAAGAAGTGCAGTCATCCACCACAACACACTTTATTTGCAAAATATGACAGCAACAACTAACACGAAAAATCTCATCATTCGTGTCAGTAAAACTCAAAGTTAAGCGCATCAGAAGGACACTTGCTTGGCTGCAGGTTGATATTGTTCATCTTTTTGTAATCGCCTTAATGAGCCGTTCTTACTATCCTGCCACCAAAGTTCGTCACTTCCGTCAATCCACTAAAATGTTCAATTAGATTAATAAATTCAGCCATCCATTGAATTTCCCAGACAATGAACTGCCATCTGAAGTTGAACCTCCAATCTTCTGATGACCGTAGCTCTGCTATGGTGCTATGTTGCTAATATCCTAAGGAGTGTATCTCTGAGAACAGCCTTTCTAGGTTGTCTGCCTCATGCCAATCATCTTTCCAGAAACAGGTTTAACCCCATTTTCCACTTTGATCTTTATAAAGCTTTTCAACTCATTACACAAGGCTCTTATGGACCTCCATAAATTGACTCCATATGGAGTTGTAACTTCTCCTCATACTTGGCTTCTGTTACTTTCCCTCACAGAGTTCGTTTATTTCATTAACATATTTCCAAAGTCATTTCATTCTTACGGACTTGTTGTGATTCTCCAAATTATTGATCCCCAAACCCCCCAACTTTTTATCACAAATCAGAGTCCTCCACTTGATCAAATGGTAGTTTTTCCTGTCTTTATTACCTAGGCACGGGAACATCTTCCTGATTTTGTCTAATCTGTTCATGACCCGAGCTGGAATAGGGAACAGGGACATCAGGTAAGTTGACAAAGAATCTAAGACTGAATTGATGAGGGTTAATCTTCCACAAATGACAAGTACTGCCTTTTCCACCTAGCCAAATTCTACTCGCACTTCTCGACCACATTGTTTCATATCTCCTTAGCTTTTGATTTTGCTCCTAAAGACATACCTAGGTAAGTGGTTGGTAGACTGCCAATCTCACCACCAAGTATTGCATTCAGGGATTCCATATTTGAGACCCCATGGATAAGATACAAAAAATTCTTCCTCCAGTTAATGTGTAATTCAGACATCCCTTCAAATAGGACCAGAAATCACACTCAGGACTCTAAGTTGCTCTTCATCAGCATCACCTTCAGGTCCAGGTTATCTCTTCCATCTCTGGTCACACTGAAACCTCTTATCCACCCATTTATATTTGAAGATTTAACCATACAATTAAGGCCCTCCATTGCTAGTAAAAACAGAAGGGGTGACAAAGAATCACCTTGTCTATTTTTTATTTTTTTTTGATGAAGTAAGAAGAATGTCATTAACAAAGCATCAAGCAGATGCACAGATTACAAAAGAAAGAAATATCAGCTCCCAAAAAGGCAAAAAAAAGCTATCTAAACAGCTAACAGCAGAGATCTATGGAGCTGATAAATTCTAGGAAAGAATCGACACTAAGTACAGGAGAGAGATTAACCCAACCAAAAAGAGTAATCAAACATCTTGCTTTAAAGGTAGAGATGGGAGTTGGGGTGCCATCAAAACATCTTTTGTTCCTCTCCGTCCATAAGCACCACAAAATACAGGCTGGAACCAAAGACCAGATCTGCTTGACGGACTTCCCAACTTTCCAAGAACTCCAACACACAAAAACCTCTCTCAATGATCTTGGCATGACCCAAGTGAGTCCAAAAAGTGAGAAGAACATGTTCCATAGGCCTGTTGCAACTGTGCAATGAAGGAACAAGTGATTAATAGATTCTGAGTTGCACAAGCACATGTAGCATCTGTTGACTATTTGGAATTTCCTCCTCATGAGATTATTCTGAGTCAAGCAAGAGTCTTTTAGAGTAATCCAACTGAAACAAATAACTTTAGGTGGCAACTTAGTTCTCCAGATTAATTTCCATGGCCATTGATCAATTACGGTCTTCTTGGAGCTTTGTTGAAGGTAGCATGCTTTAACTGTGTAGGATCCATCCCTGCTATGTCTCCAGATAAGTTTGTCCCTGCGTTGACTGTTGATTGCACTAGTCTGAATGGTGGCCATAAGGCTAAAAACCTCTTCCAACTCCCAGTCATTAAGATTTCTCCTTAGGATCAGATTCCACACATTGTCTTCCCTGTACTGCGAGATGGTTGAGTCTGGATGAGATGCAATCTGGAAAATGCTTGGAAAAACATTCATTAGAGGAGTGTCTCCTAGCCAAATATCTTTCCAAAACTGAATATGTTCCCCATTTCCCACCATAAGTGAGGCATCACTGAAGAATATTTCCCACAGTTTCCTTATACTCTCCAGACCCCCGTGCCATAAGAGGTACTGACTTTATTAGAGCACCAATGACTATCACTACCATACTTTGCTTGGATCACTTCCTTCCACAAGCCAGCCGCCTCTTGATTGTATCTCCAGTGCCACTTCAATAGCAAACACTTGTTATGTAAGGCCAAGTCTTTTATCCCCAATCCTCCATATTGTTTTGGCAAAGTGACTTTGGCCCATTTAACAAGGTGAATTTTGTGGTCCTTGTTGTTGCCTTCCCAGAGAAAGTCCCTCCTGATTTTGTCGAGTCGCTGTTTCACCTTAGCTGGCATAAGGAATAAGGACATAAAATAGGTGGGAATGCTGTCCAATACACTATTGATGAGGAAAAACCTGTTGGGGTACCATTAATAAGAACGGAAAAACTCACTATTGAAATGCAATTACATCCAGTGTATCCATTTCTGTCCAAATCTCATTCTACTCAAAACTGCTAGCAGATAAGCCCAGTTGACATGGTCATAGGCTTTCTCTATGTCTAACTTGCAGAGTATGCTTGGTTTTCCTTGCTTCTGCTTCATTAGCAACTAGAATTGCATCCACGATTTATCTACCTTTGATGAAGGCCATTATTGTTCACCCACAGTATTTCCATCATCCTTTTCAGCCTCAGTGAGAACTTTGGAGAAAATTTTGTAAATGCTACCAATTAAACTAGTTGGTCCGAAATCCCTTAGTTCTTTGGCACCTTTCTTCTTTGGGATGAGAGCTATAAAAGCGGCATTGCAGCTCCTCTCAAACATTACATGTTCATAGAAGTTGTGGAATGCATTCATTATATTTGACCTTACCACCTCCCAACATTTGATTAAAAAAACCATAATGAAGCCATGAGGCCCCGGTGCCTTGAATGTAGCACACGTCTTTAAGCTTCTCAACACTTCCTCCTCCTCAAATCTTGCTTGAAGACTCCTTTTCTTCCACCATTAAAACTGGACAATATGGGAAGTGACTGGCCGGCCTCCATTGCACAGTTTGCGTATAAACTTTGGTAAAATTCTACCATCTCCCCTTCAATTCTAGTAGAATTCTGAGTGAGATATCCCTGGACTAACAACTGATCTATGTTGTTGTATCTTCACTGAGCATTGGCAGTTTTGTGGAAAAACCTTGTATTTATGTCCCCCTCCATCAGCCAAAGGGCTCTGGATATTTGTCTCCATGCAATCTCTTCCTTTTTAATCAGTTCTTCATATTCTAGCACCAGCCCTGATTTTCTCTGCATCCGTTTCAGCTAGAATTCTGCCTCCTGAAACTGCTCCTACATCTGCCAATTAACCTAGCAGGATCTTCCTCTAGAAACCTAAGTTCACCCTCTTGTGCCACTAGCCTCTAGACAAGCAAATTTGATCCATCACCCCCCTCCCCCCAGTTGTAAGTCCCCTCCCAACTTTGTTCCTTGAATGCAAATGATATCAGCATTCCAACTCATCACCATGCTCTTCATTAATCTCCTTTTATCCCTACAGTTTAAACCCCCTACATTCCATGTAATCAGTTTGATCTGCATTAACCAATTTTCAAATTGCTTCTCCCATTGCTCCTTTCACCACTACTCTTCAATTCTTGAGCCCCTTTGAATCTAGATTTTTTACATATTGCATCCGACTCCATTCTTCTTGCTATTCTGCAGCTGTCTACTTGTGGTAATAGTTCCAGAGCTTCCTCCTCGTGTCCCTGAAAATCACCCCAGTAATTTGCAACTTTTTCATGTTTTGTTGCACCCAAACAGAAGTTTCCCTCTCTCACTTTGATCAACAACTGAGATTGAACTCGCAGAGACTCTGTTTCTTCAATTTTCCAGTTCTCCGTTGTCTCTGCTTCATTTTGGACCACTATATCTGTCAAAATTGTTTTTGAGTTCTCAATCTCCTCCCAATTTCCCATGTGCACCTCATTCCATTAATTCCTTAGTGGAATCTTCATCATTGACCTCGTATATAGTGGCCACTGCTCTATCGAAGCTTTCCGTAATGTTCTCCATCTTTTGCATGGTCTCTCGATCAAAACTTTGAGAGATAGAGAGAGAGAGAGAGAGAGAGAGAGAGTCTTTCATGATGTCGTTGAAGGTGTCTCTCTATTTAGATTTGGCTCCTGTAGTGGTATATCAATGAAGATCACTTCAGGCCCAAATTTAAGAGTTAAACGAAAACACTTCATTGGGCTTCCGGTCCGGCCCAACAAGTAATTTCATTTACTCTGGTGGTATGCCTTTCACGTGTGAAATCTGCACCACATGTTCCATTTGTAAAGTGAGCGACACCCTCGTGGTTTCTGAAATTTGAATCCCTGAATTGAATGGGAATTCAAATTTTCAGCGTAGACATCGCCTCTGTTTATCCTCTGGGTAATAAGATGGACCATGTAATCTTTTCAATCATCTTTTCTGATGGTTTCCCTGGTCTTTTCTGGCAGGCTTTCGCATCTGGGTTTATTCTCATCCCAAATCGAAATGAATTAAATGATATCATTGCGCATAATGGATATTCGCTGGCCACCTTCCATCCATCATTTGCCACCAGAATTCTTGCTCATTTCATGTGCTTTCTGAGCTATGTCTCCTCTTCTGTGGCCACCCAACCCCCACACAGTTGGCCAATTTCGAAGAAGACCTTCTGCGACCACAGGTGCAGTGGTATTCCGACTGCTCTAATCCATGTCTTCTTTGTGACGAGGAGTTGGCACACAACCCCCATTGGAGACCATCTTTCAAGGTTGAATCTTATTTTCTTCCAAGACCACTGTCCTTGCAGCACTTGCTCTGCCATGTATCTATTTGGGAATTCAAATAGGAACATGTCTCCATACATCTCATATATGTTTACCCCTAAAGTATTCCTCAAGCTAGAGATGACGATTTCCTTATATCAGCCAGTGTGGGTTTCGCCGTACAGATCAACTCTAGACTGCCAACAAGACATCTTTAGCAGGCTTTAATCTTGAAGATCTGAGGTGTATTCGATTTCAATTCTGCCTTTCGAGCTACTCACCTCAGCTTCTCAAATGGCCCTGGATTGCCATTTACTTTCCTTGACAGCTTTTTTGAAAGGGTAGTTGGCTTCTGTTATATTTGGGGGACCTACCCTTTCCTGCTTTTGGGGGTCTTAATGAAATTCTCAATCTTAAATGCAATATCACACCAACCTGCATTTAATGCTGATTCTGGAATAATCAATACTGATCTTCCTTCCTTATTTATAGAGAGGATACTCATGTATCTCCCATGCTCATTCTACTTCCTTGTACTAAAAAATTCTGAGTCTCTTTCTGAGGTTTTCCATCTCCTGTCCGCCTTCTTCTGATCTCTGGAAGCTTCTCTTTATGTGAAGCAAATACATCCATTATTTGCTGCTCATCGAAGTTCTTCTCATAAGTCTTCGACTCCTCTCGACCCATTCATATCACACTGCATTATCTGAGTTCCATCTAGAAATGACTAATGTCGAATGACTTGAACCCAGCATTTAAGTAAATCCTGTTCTTGTCCATCTTGATAGAAAAAGCTACAGATTACAAAGCCTGTGCAAGCTGAGAGAAAGATTTGAATGAAACAACTAAAACAGAAGGTGCTACCATAAGGAACGGGTGGAGGATTCTGACTCTCAGTCACCGGAAAAGATGACACTCTCTCTGCAGAAGTAGGACAGCGAGTGTTTCTGGGGAATGTGCCAGAAGCATTCAAAGAGGAAATATCTTTTTTACAGGAGCATTGAGACAATCACAAAGATTACAGCAAAACATTCAAATAGATGCACAATCACCCCTAACTGCATATCCCCAGTAAAACCTGGACCTGCTCTTCTGCATAAAATAAAGGGAACTACCAACAGAACATTCAGTGTACCTCTTCTGCACGCAAGGTCCAGTACTGATCATTTATGTTCTCAATCCTTTCAGTAGGTGGAAAAATCTGCAAAATAAATGTAGAGGATATGTTACAAATGCTACCAAGAAGCAAAGCTGAGAAGCATGATACTGCATGTCCTTTCATGAGTTCTTATCTACTTCAAAATGCATCAAACTGTTTGTGTGTGTTAATGTGTATTGTCCTGTCTGTTTATATCTGTCTGTCCGTCTGTATATATGTAATGTATGTCAGGCATGAGCACACAGACATGCACACTCTACTGTTCAACACTTAAGATTGAAAGATCATTTAGAAAACAAAGAAAGGGTAATCGTATAACACTCCCACAGCAACTCTATCTGTGCGCATTGAAGCACTTGCAGAAGATACTGAACTACAGCAGAAGGAAGTTATGCAGCATAAATGGTACCTTATATATCTTGTGATAGAAAACTTCCAGCAACCTCAGTTCAGCATCTGGACGTGACAACTCAACCTATTCCATACCATGAGACAAGATCAGCAAAAACATCTGACAGATATAGATCTTAATGAAATGAATTTATAGCAGTGTACTTATCACTTATCAGAGAACCTTCCAATAAAATAGGTTATTAGATGACATCTCAATGTAGACATCAGCTTGTTCTCTCTAAATTAAGACATAGCATGGCTGGGGCAAGACATAAAATGTTTTTCCTACTATTCTTCCTAGTTTCTACTTTCAGGTTTACAGTTTAGGGTGGTAAAAACAATATGAAGGCGGCATCACTACTTTTATATCGATGCATCACACTTTATAGCAATAGAAAATTCAAAAGTACCTTTGTCTTAAGATGATTAAGGACATCATCTACAGTACTTTGTTTTGGCAATCTAATAGTATGGATTGTCACCTGAAAATGAACAGCCCAAGATTTTATATATGAGTGTAGGAGACTGTATAAACCCTTATCAAAGGAAACTCTACACAAAATGTACAAGTATGTGTAGCACTTACTTCATATTTTGCAGCATTATAAAAGGCGACTTTGAGAGTTTTTAAGCACTGTAGCTCTGGTAATGGAATATCGAGGACTTCATAATACAAAATGTCTGAAGTCTGTCCAAAGAGGAGGGATGGTAAGCAAAATGTAGTCGCTGGTAAATAACTAAGAGCCACAAGATTGTAAATACATAAAAAAGTTTCAATTATCCCTAACCAGAGTAGACTCTGTTCCTACATTACCTGATTATAGTGAACCAGCATTTCTGTAAGACGGTCCACTCCTCGATACTTTATTGGCTGAGGTTTTGGCTGCTGTGAGTAGCAGTTATGTGATGTAAGCCTTATTTTTGATGGGTCATCCAAGCGGAGATGGCGAGCCAAACTCTCTACTACTTCATCATAGTTGTTCAGCTTTGACCTAGAGTTTGTTTATTGTCAATGAATTAAACAATACTGGAAAAAGCTTCATTAACTTACTGAAACAGATACATACAACTCAAGACTAAAATCCTCCTCCTTGGGTTTGTCCAATGAGCGGAAGTGAACAACCTGGGAGCAATCACATGGAAAAATTTTATCTTAGCTATCAAGCCACACAAAATATTCAGAGCTCTTTTGAAACTTAATACAAATGAAACAGTGTCACATAAACTGAAAACAAAAGTGAGTGCGATGGAGTCAAGGCAGGAGTACTACCAAAGGTACTGCCTTCATCAAAGGGAAACAATTCTATTTCATAGAGGTAACTACCAATCTAGCTCCAAGAGCCAAGAGACAATATGAAAAAACAAGGTGCAACACATACCTGGCGATTGTGCACATACTCTAAAAATGAAGGAACATCAGGAAATCGATATTGTTCACTAGTTTGACTTCGAACGGGTTTCTGAAAGCAAATAATGTCCCCATCTTCAAGCTGAAAAAAGCAGAGGAGTATCATACAATAAATCCACCAGAAGAAATGAAAACCAGAACAACTGAAAGCAATTGGCCACCCAGCGAACGTGTAACAGTAGTATACAGATGGCAAGTAATAGCTCGTACCTGACTGCTACAAAATGTTAGATTGCAATCAATAGGTTCACACATCACATTGGGTTCAAATTTTATTTCCTGTCAATAGAGCATGATATTAAGCACAACCTGAAGCCACCTATATAACTGCTGTGGGTTAACATACTGATAGCGAGATAAGAAGTAAAAAATTAACCTCAAAGAGTTCAATCTCTTCATCAGGTGAAATTCCAGCCAACTCATTTAGCTTGGTCATTATGTCCAGTGGCTTACCACTGCCTTTTACAAAGAGCCGCCCAACATACCTGATAAGTGATAACAAGAAGGAAAACCAAGTAAAGAATAGACAAAGCCCCATTATTGCATGGCCACTTATATACAGACACCAAAGTACGTGAACAATGATATCACAAGTTTCAGGATATCAAATACGTTAAAAATTTGAATTGTGCCCTACAACAGAATGTACAGATCGAGGTTTCAGCAATTAACTAATATCTCTCACGACTATAGACCTCTGAAAAACTCTATTTAATGTCTACATCAAGTGCAAAAAATTGCATAGACTGCGATGAAACTGAAGTAGGTTTTTCACCACAGTAATCTCAGGTTAACAAAACATCTGTGTTACAGGAGTTAGATGTCTACCATGTTGAACAGTCCGACATCAAGTTGTTAGAACCTTAGTCACTATGTGAACACTTGACACGAGACTAAAGCATTAGTGGTTTATGAACCAGTCATCAAGGATCTTAGCCAAACGGGATCTGCTGCATAAGCACTTTGCCCACAGGTTTCTTGATCGGACTTGACAAATTGTCATTGTCACATTTCATATATCAACCATGTCTGCAGGCTCTAAGAATGAGAAGAAGATGCACTTTCCATTTTTTATTTTTGATAACCAATGATGCACTTTCCAATCAGAGATGATATTAGAGATCCCAAACTAGACAAGCATAGAAATAACTCCTCTTATAAAGCACGGATTTCAACCTATAGAGGCAAGAAGAAATACCTTATCTCCTCTTTTAGAGGGTCATACAGTTTGAAAAATAGAAGAATATCTTCTTTGGTCTTCTCAGGTGGAGGACAAGGTTGCAAATCCTACAACAACACAAATGCAAAAAGTGCAAAACATAAAACTTGATATACACAAAAGTACAGCACCTGCCCCAACAATAATTCCAAGTGTGAACCCTAAACTGGAAAATGAGTACGCAATATTTCATTACCAGGCCAATTTCAACTTCCAAATAAAGTTTTAGCTCCGCGTTAGTTGTTTTATTAGAGACCTCTCTCAATTGTCCAACCTGAAATACATTGCGCAAGATCATTAGCACCAAGTCAATCAAGCACCAATCTTGGTAATTCGACAAACCAAATACACCAACAACAACAACATCCCAGTTTGTTCCCACAAGTGGAGTTTGGGGCCGGTAGAGTGCAAGTAGACCTTACCACTACCTTTGAGAAGGTAGAGAGGTTGTTTCCGAAAAACCCTCGGCTGAGCAAACGACAGAAAAGTACCATTCATAGGAAAAAATACACCACTGAACATAAGTGATTAAAATAACTGCAGCAGTTGTTAAGCAATTATAGACTTGAAAAGGTGGGATGGTTCCTGCACGAAGCTATGATCCTGGGATGATTAATTCCTCTGGTTCACAATACTATATCTCTTACATTGGGATAAAAGGAGTCTTAGGATGTTCAGCCTGACAATTTTTCAACATCCAAAGTGGCTTAGGATGCTCATCCTGGCAATTTTTCAACATCCAAAGAGACTAGTCACCTTATCAATACTCCCTCTATCCTATTTTATGTGGCACCCTTTCCTTTTTAGTCCGTCCCAAAAAGCTTGTCACCTTCCTATAATTAGAAACATTTAACTTAAAATTTCTCTTTTACTCTTGATGAAATGATTTACAACCACGGAAATATCTAAGGATTGTTTCAGACCACAAATTTCAAAAGTGTTCTTTTTTTCTTAAACATCATGCCAAGTCAAATGGTGTCACACAAAATGTGATGGAGGGGGTAATAAAAATGAAACAAAGAGGATGAGGCCTCATTTGTTTGCACTTAATGAATATATTAATCTTAATCATTCAGATCTCACTCATTAAGTGCGTTTGTTTTTCTTATTTTACAACCGCTTAATGGGTCTAAATAGGTCTGAATGATTAAGATCCATAACAAAGACTTAATATCATTAAGATGTCTATTAAGAATTGCTACGATGACAATTCATCGCTATTCCATCTACTTTCACCCACCACTCACAACCACCATTTCAGCCACAACTACCACCACCTACCATCCACAACCACCATCCTCAGCCCAGCCACAACCACCACTATTGCTAATCACCAAAATCAATTGTCATCGCCATAAGTTGTCATTTGCAATCATCACCACCAACCATTATCACATCCACAAATCACTACTCATAATTATCATCATTAGTCAACATTATATATCACTAACCACCATTAGTTGTCATTATCATTCCACTACTATTTATCAGCTCCCACCAACAAAAACAACCACAGTTAATCACTACTGCAACAACTATATCATAAGATACTACCCACAACCACCATCAATAGTCAACATCATCCCAAATGACACACACAATCACCATTAGATCAATTTAGTATTTTATTTGAATTTTATATTTATTATTCATTTAACAAAAAAAAATTGTATACATTCAGGTATTGAGAAAACAAACAATCTTAACTATTTAGTATTCAGATTCTTAATACATATCTTAATATTCAGATGTGAATTCAGATCTCTAAATCATAATACGCATCTTAATATTCAGACGTGCATTTATATTCAGAGCTCTAAATCAATCAAAATGTCTCAATCTTAATGAAAAAAAATTGAGCATGAGTCAGCTTAATGCATCCCCATCTCACATCCTACGACATGATGAGATGATGACTCATCTTGATGTCTCAGCCACTCACATCACGCAAATTGTCAAGAAATGGACTTTAGGCTTATCTTAACAACAAAACTAGCTCATGAGAGGAGGATTGTTCTAAGAACATATAAGAAAACAAGTGTCCACACCTTCAACCAATGTAGCACTTTGACACCCCCCAAGAACACGTTGCTCAGGGATAGAGAATTAAAGCATGAACAACATAACATTGAACAAACCCAACATTGAGTAAGCCAAAAATAAAGATGGGTCTAATAGCATGGACGGAAAATGGAACTTGGATCTAACTTATGTCCAAAAGCTAGCTCATCGCTCATGACCATATAAAAAGACAACGGCCCATAACATCAACCAATATGGGAAATACTAACACAAAGTGTGGCAATCTTTCCACATTCAAATAGGTGAGTCGTCTTATTTATCAAAAAGAGAAAAGATAACTCATTTTGTTCACATCCAAAGACCGGATGATAAATGACTCATCATGATGTCTCTTCAACCCATCTCATCACACAAATCAAACATACTCTAAAAGGGAACCTATAATGTAAGAAGTTCCAAACACTGAATATCCACAAACGCATGTTTTTGTCTCTTTTTCCTAAGAGGGAAAGGACGGAGGAAGAGGGGGGATATCAGATGTGGACAAAAATAAACCGCAAAGAGTATCCAGATAGTCAGCAATAAATTATGTTTAGACAATCTATTTTGCAGAGCAAGACAAGGTCTGGGAGAGAAGCTCATAATCAATTTTAGGATAACAGATTTAAGATTCACCACAAAAATACATCTGTTACTGACCTCGAGGAAGTATACTATGTTTTGTGTTACAACTTTAAGCAGTGCAAGATATGGGTACAAAAATATCAATAAGCAGAAGGAAGATAAGAATGTCCCACATAAGGAAATATGTATTTTTCACATAGAAACAACGGAAGCAAAAAAAAAAAAAAAGACTAGCATCATTAGGTATAAATGGTATTAAAAAGAAAAGGTGCATGGCTGCAAACAATTATCCCTAATTGTTGTTTTCCTAGCCATTTACACCTACAACAATGCAATAGATACAGATGATAAATCACATGAAGTGCATGCTTGATCTTAGCATGATGTTCTTTGCTTGTGTAATTACTGGACATTCCCTTGAATTATTTACTGCAACTGTCTATGAAAGTATTGATTCATTATTTCTCTGTCAGTCTATTTCTGAACAAAAATCCTTTTTTTAGCCAAATTTTTATTTCTACTAAATGTCAATCAAATTGTACTGATAGATAGCATAAAGAGTAAATATAATACTTGTCCCAGAATCTTTTGATCAGTATGTTGATGCAAGCAGAACAGTAGAAGTGATTGGAAAGCTAGTAAGGTTTAAATATGCCAGTTGCTCAATTCTTAAAAACAGAGGACACTTTCTAGAATCTGGATACAACTGCAAAGCACTCTTAATTCAGCTCCACAAAACACAACAGAAAGGTAAACAGTCAGACAACTTACCGACTGAACTTCCTCTTGAGGTGTCAATGGCCGATTAGGCCGATATGTGTGATTTTGTCGTTTTGCCCATAGCCAATACCGCTGAAATTGCACGGGTATACCCAATACCTTAGCAACCTCCTCCTGAAAAAGACTTACCATTAAATGATACAAACATAAGAGGTAAAAGGATTGACCAAATACACAAATATAGGCTATAACTGTTTGACTTAGCAATTAGCATACAGCATACGAAAAGCTGAACCATCAGATTCCAATTTTTCAAGAATCATTCACCTAAATTTGCAATCAGAATCTGAAGTTTATCTTCTAACTCAAAGTTAGATATTAAAATCTCAACACCAAATTTACATTCCATTACCCATATTTCAGAAGACATAAAAGTGGCACTTGAACCTCCATTGTTAGTACCTGCATTCTACGAGTCTATATGTTCTTGTTGAATTATGTTATCACATCATCTAAAATCCTATATAGTTTGAGAAGGGAAACTTTTATCCTATTGTTTTATGCATGCAACACTCCCCTTCACGTGTGGACCTAATTCTTTTCTTAGAGGCCAGCTCTTTTCTTGAGACAAGCACATGAGAATATTTTATTCAAGAGTACCTGTGCAACTCAAAATCAGAACTTTTGCCATCTTTGATACCATATTTAATCATGTAACTACCCAATCTAAAAAATGAAGTTGTTCAAGAGGAGACATTTCTATTTATGTTTGAAATTCTGAGGCATATTTATGCAGTATCTACATATTATGCTTCAGAAGAGCAACCAAAACAGCAACGACGATGTAAATTTTCAGTACAAAAATACTTTTTCTACATAAATATGTACAAAAATAAATTGCAAAACCATACCTTGAATTGCGTAAATACCATCTGTTTTTGGATACGGAAACTACGGACTTTGTCATGATCCAAAAGATCAAAATAAATCTCCTTCCCAATTTGTTCACCAAGGTCCTCATCACGAGCAACCTAAGTATATAACAAGAGTATTTTCAGTAAGATTTCCAAATTACAAAGATGCAAGCGGGAAGGGATAAGACTAGGTTTTAAAGGAAACCTTGATGATAGTATAAAGGTGAGCCTCTGCTTTTTCCTTTCTCTTTTGCTCCTTTTCATCTTGCTCTTTCTTTAGCCTTACCTGCAATATAATGTTAGACAGAAGATGACACAACTCAACCATATTATCATCAATTAAATGGACAGAGTAATGTAGCACACACACCCTGAGATGCTCCGCAATGTCCTTTTCGTCCACATTGCAGATAATCTTTTCTTTGTCACTTTCACGAATATAAACAAGCATATATGCATTTGAATATTTTGTGAATTTGAATGGTGAATTGTTGAACGCAGGGTTTGCATGAGGCAACTGTTGCAAGAAATGGAGAATGAAAATGAATATTGGCTATATAATACAAGAAAATAATGCACATGCATATAAGGACAGCAAGAATTGGAAACAGACCTCCTCCTCACCACCATACTGCTCTTCCAGAGCCCTCTTTGGATCTTCTTTTGTCACACGCTCATCATCAAATTTAAACCTAAAAGTAATAGGCAAATAGTGAATCTTAAAAATCAAGACAGGCAGCAGACACAGAAAGATTGTGACAAGGAAGTGAAATAGCTATAAACAATGATCGAAGGGCAACTGCTGCCCAAAATTTACTATACATCTTTTATTTCGAAAAGAAAAAAGACAATATAATAAATGATATCGCCTTAAAGATGATAAAATCGTCCTTCTGATGACCCAGAGTAGGTGAGAGAACACTAAAAATAACATGGCAGAGAAAAACCAAAGAATTAAAGGATAAAGAAATGTGTCTACTGACTGCGACACAAAACATACCATTGATCAGAGAGTGTTGGTCTGATATAAGCATAATAGTGTCCCCCATGGACCCCGCCACTGTGAACCAAAACACTGAAAACAAAAATAAAAGAATCAAATAAAACTCATTACCTAGTCTTCCGGCTATTCAGAAATCTGTGCCAAGTATACAAAGATAAAATAAAAAATAGCATAGTCTAGACTGAAAAAACAAACCCATGTATCTTTTTTTCACAGAAGAAGCAGAAAATATCAAACTACAATGCAGAATAGAGGAGGGACAGATGATAACAACATCACAATTGCAAAAGCAGTTAATTGAGGCCGAGGAAAGGGAGAGAGGAAGTGGGGAAAGGGAGGCGAAAAGGAAGGGTGCTAATTTCCATTTAGACAGTATCATCCAATTATGTAGATACTTGAATGAATCCCCACTGCTCTAATAAAACATAAATAGTGAAATAATATTTAAAATCAGCCCTCACGTGGATAGGACACTAAGAACTCCAGCTGTGTAATCTCCTATTAGGAGCACGGAGAAAATGGTGTCACCTCTGAGCAATCATGCTACTAAGTTTTCAGTGTGTAGCATAATATAGTAGCATGATGACATTCAAGATTAAGCACCATTAAAAATCGGAAAGGTGTACAAGGAAATACATAAACGAATTGATCAAAACTAAACCATGAGGTAGAAGTGTTTGAAGTTCTATCATAAAGTTTTCAGGCATTAAAACAAGGTTAAAAATTTAGATAGATTACAAAACATAAATTCAATACCAAGTTTTAAATCCTACTATCCTTCAGGAAAAAGCAATTCATGTCCACATTAGCATATCCCTTGCATGATGACCATTGAAAATAAAACAATTACTGTGCAGTAAATTAATTTGGAAGAAGATGCACAATAGGCCATACCTCATAAACCAAAACTCAAAACTTGCTAAGGGGTAAAAAAACATTGATTCCCAGTGGAAAGATTCTATTTCCTAATTTACATGTTTACCCAAGAAACCATACTATCCTGTAAAATGTTCTGAGAGAAATCCAAAGTGATGGAATTCGACAGTAAGAGTCTTTCTTATTGCTACCATAGCAGTATTGTTAAGAGTTTTCAAATAGGAAAGTTCACAAAGAAGAAATAATATAATCCCAATTGACAAAGGGAATCAAGAAGAGATTATATTTTCTCAACAGATGACTGATTTTACACCACCAAACCATGGGAAATCAAGTTGTTAGAACTTAGAAGCAATCTTACTATGTCTAAGAAAGTTAAGAGTCTGTAGCACATCTAGTTTACATGAGCCACATTGTCAAGTAAAAGTTAACTGGACAAGGAAAACAGCAAAGAATTATGCATGAAGAAGTAAACAGAATGATATAATGTGACTCTTATGATTAGATGATTCAAATCTGTATGCAAAAATGGGTAGAACTGACCCGCTCAACTAATCACAAGCATAAAGTTAGTAAATTAACCAAAAGAGAAATTTGTCAACATGAAGAATGTGAGATGATAAAGGAATTCTCTTAACGCAACCACATGACAGAAGTAAGATCACATCGCCAAATGGCAAGAAAAGAAGCATTAAAAATAGGAAACCATTTATGCTTCATCGGAGGAAAGAGATTGATACCTATGAAGAGTATAGAGATTCCGAACGCTTCGATCGGCATCTGGAGATAAATATTTTCCATTCTCTCTATCAAGGTCGAGTTGTAAAGGAAACTCATATCTGTCATTTATCTATTTAATCAATTCAAAAAGAGAATCAGAAATTACCATCACATTGAAACATACTGTTTTGATTAGAGCTGGAGAAAGATAAAGTCATATCCTCATAAAGCAACTAAAAGAGTGATCCTGAGATGAGTTGATTCCTTACCCTCAAAAATAATATCAAGGAAAGATAAAGTAAAAGACAAGACGGTTATAGACTGAAACTGTCAGCCTAGTAAATGCAAAGCTCCAGATATTGTCCTACACTACTTTCAGCTCCCATTGTAACATTTTATTTCTTCATTTACAATCAGGGTTTTTTCATGAGTTCAAGTCTTCTCTCTAGTTTCTTTCTTAACAGAATTTGTTGAAAAGTTAAAGAGTTAAGACTAGTTTAGGACTGACAAGGGAGACTCCCACATTCATTTCCATCTCCTTTTTAAGCCTATTCGGAGATATTGGCATTAAGAGTTAATTAGTTTAGTCACATACACCCTTCTTTATTCATTGACTAAGAATTCTGGTTTGATAATGATCAAGGAAGCAATGAAATGGGAAGAACCACATAAGGTAGAATTACTGAAAAACCCATGATAAATTTCAGACGTTTTCTAAGCACCCAAGGGTGTCTCCTAGAGGTCAATGAAGCTGGGATGCACAATCTGAGAGATCAGTATTCAAATCTCAGTACAGGCAGGAAGGAAAAAAAAAACTAACTGATTTATTCTCATCTGTCTCTATCCTGTTAAACAGAGTTACCCGGTGTTTCTACCAGTGGGAAGTAGCACGTACTCAGTGAATTAGTCAAGGTTCGTGCACGTTGGACCAGACAACACCACTATCACAAGAAAGAAATCATATGTTTTCTACCATAATTGGCTTGCATATGGGTTTAGAAAACACTAGACCCAGCATATATATAATAAAATAAAGCATTTACTCCACTTGGTTATGCCTATACAATCGTGTGAGGAATCAGTTCTATACTCCCTTTTTCATAGGCATGAGGAATCTATTTTATACATTAACCACATGAGAGTAATAAATGAAATACCTTGACCATAGTATCCCGTGCAAAATCATATTCAAAACGTTTTAACTGAAGCTGAAGAACAGGGGGGAAGTCAACAAAAAGGACACCTTTCCGAGCATCCTGAAAAATGGAAGTTCAGGTAAGTAGCAACAAAGATAACAGTCAACACATACAATTATCTTTAACAAAAAAAAAACAGAGACCATTATACTAATAACCAACCAACTACAGCCTCATTCTGTTTCATTTTTTTATCTTTTTTTTTTGGATGAATACAAGAAGGTAAGGAAATGCTGCTTTCGGGACTTGAATCTGCATTGGCGGCGAGATTCTTCAAAAAAGGCAACTTAGAGTAATCAAGCTAATGCTGCACTCAAATGTAGAACAAGATTCATTTATTTGATAGGAGGGGAAAAGAAAGTAAGAAACACAAAACACTTATCAGGTGCCTTTCCAAATTTCACCTCCTTGATTTTTATTAGGCATAATAAATGAACATGTCGTTTAACTTGACCTCAGTTGGCATTTACGCCCTCTAACTTTGGGTGTGCACTAGGCACTTAAACTTGTATAAAGTTGGCGTAGATGCCAGATGAGGTCATGTTTAGGGCATGTTGCTGTAATATGCCTTTTTATTATTTTGTGAGAAACACTAATTAGTATCTTTTTGTCTCTCCATAAACATCTCACTTCAAGTACCAGTTATATCCTTCCTTTGGTGGCTCAAAATAATGGCACAAATTTAATGTCTAACCAACTCTGCAAACCATCATCCAAAAATCAGTGAAGGGATTTAACCTGTAAACCATATTTTTCTGCATGGTATTTATTGTCACCCTCAAGGCGTTCTACTTCAACATACTTGTCAAAAGAAGCATAGACATCACGACACCCTTTGACGTCAAGCTGCAAGTCTGTCAAATGAGGCATGATTGAAAGTTAAACTCACAATGTGGCATTCTGTGTTTAACAAGAAAAAACATGAAAAAATAAATATTGGTTCCATACATACCATAAAAAGATTCTTTTCTTGTTGATCTGTAATCCACATTGATACATTCAATATAATTCATATGATGCCCCTCGAACAGTTGTTGTATTGTTCCCTCTACAACGGTTCCCTGAGCCAAAGAAACCCATATACAAATCCATAAAAAATAGTCTCAAATCTAAATAAGCATGCCATCTATGGTACAATTTGTTTTAGGTTCACGTGTTACACAATTATAAATTACCTTCATTTTATCTTCAAGTTTTTCACAAAGAACCCTGTTAAGTTCTTGTACATCATGCTGCATGAAAGAATCATTTGAGTCCCATCCAAAGGACTTCGTCAACTCTTTTGTTGCTACACTAGTGTCACTGTACTGTAGCTTATAGAACAGACTCTGCAAAGCCAAAGGGATGCTCCCAGATGGATTGTCATTCTCAGTTGTTGGCATATGATACACAGCCTGAAACACGTGTGAATTAGTCACCTCCAGGAAAATAATAGCAAAGACATTACTCATTCTTTTCAAGGCTAACCTTTCTAAAGTAAGAAATATGATACAATGTTTGGAGGAGAGAGTTCATATAACAAGTGGCTCCCTGATTCTTAAGGCCAACACAACCAGTCTCCTTCTTAGAGTCATGGGACCAGTAATCAGCAACCTTACGAACAGAAACATCAGCTTCAACTACGACTGTATCATCCATAATAAAACCTCTGCTAGGATCATATAATTCACTAAGAGGCATGAAGGATGTGAAACCCCAGTCACTCTCTCTTGCATTAAACTGGTGCTGAGTATCTGCCATGACAATCATTTTTTGAAGTAAGTTTCATATATTGCCCCAAGAAGGTGTCAATATGTACAGCAAATGTCTGCCATATGGATCATAACATTAACTAAATTGTCAGCAGTCTACATAGCAAATCATAATAATATTTGGCACAAATTAGAACCATCAAAGGGAGAGAACATAAAAAGAAGCATCTGTTAGGAATAAAAAGCTGAAGAGCCATAAATTAGAGAATGCTCAGACTCGCACTAGCTTATCTGAAAATGAAAATACAGGAGATTAAAGATACTCTCAAGATAAGATGTCAATAGAACTAAGATTAGCCTTCCATGTATCCCCCAATCATGCGTTCATCCTATCTTTCCGATGCAAAGGTATGTCAATCCTGGCATCATCTAAGTTTCTCTAATAAGCTGGCTTCAAAATCCTTAATCAGAGCTTTAAAGATTCATTTCGAAGCTCAACAAACCTTTATAGCATGTATTCAACTTCAGCAAACATCACAGGCTTAAAATAAAGTCAAGAATATTCCCAGTCAGGTTATAGATATTTCCCCTGAAAAAAAACATAGACCACCTACATAATTCCTGCAGTCATCCAAACCACAGTGGTAGTTTCAAACATAAGGGGATATCTCCTTATCAAAAAGGAAATTAAGGGGATATTTAATCTGCTTTACTGAAATGAATGAAAACTCAGATAATCAACTAAATTTGTCTGCACAAGCATGTACATCTGCCAGAAAACTATAAAAAGACACAGAAAATAGGTAAATTATAGAATATAATCATTTTGCTTATATTTTACTGTTAAAAGTAGTACTGTATTAATTTTAGCAACAAGTGTTGTAGAGATAATTAAGGAAGGTTTATGCAAATGTACAGGTCAGTTTACAAATAAACAGTTTAACAGTTAACATAGCCCAAAAAAGTTTTACATCTGGAATGACCAAATTGTTGAAAAGAAGTGTAGTCTCTTTCAATGTTAGTACCTTTTAACTTTTTTCAGTTTTACTTTTGCACTTTCCGAGGATACACACACCTATTCCCCATGTAATACAAATACTATTTTTTTGTTCTTAACTCTGTTTAACACCTTATATACAATGTTATACATAAATATACATTGTAGGAGAACCATTTATAACTATTACTCCCTCTGTTTCAATTTGTTTGACTGATTTTGACTAGGTACGAAGTAAAGTAAAACGGACTTTTGAATCTTGTGGTCCCTTCATGATCTAAATTTTAAAATTCGAGGGTACGGATCCAAGTACGAATACGGGTGCGGGGATTCAACTAAAAATATAATTAAAACATCTAAACATAGAGTTATGTGTCAAAATTATGAGACATTATGTCGAAAACTTACAAGGTACACTGAGGAGTAAATATTGATCAAGAGGAAAACCCCGTAAAGAGATAAAAGGAGAAGTACCAACATAGAATTTCATTTTCTTCAACTTCACCCTAGCCTTTGTTTTGATTACAATTATTGTATCAGCCCTGAATTTCTCTATACCCAAAATCATTTGACCGAATACAGAACGGATCCCACACCCACACCCACACCACGTCATGTCGACACGGTGCAGCACTAAAAGTGAAAGTCCGAGCAACTTAGCTTAAATGTTAGGTGGAAAGATAGAAATAGAGAGATGTCAAAAACGGAAAGAAGCCTTCTTTTTTTAAATGGACATAAAAGGAAAGACAAATAAATTGAAATAGAGGGAGTATATAACCGTGTATAAGTATCACATTTCGGTAAACTCAAAAGGAAACATGCATTGGGTTGGACATAAATTTTCATGTCCTGATGCATGAATGTTTGCCCAAGATCTCGCGACTCTGATTCCTATAGAACATAATTTTTCACTCCCCAATGCATAGGGTTTTAGGATAAACACCCTCCATTCCAATTTACATACCTTTCGGAAGCATTTTTCCCTTTATAATACCAATAGAAGTGTTAAATTCATGCTTCCTCATTCATTTTGAAGTAACTTGCTGAAGCATATAAATAACACCATTGGAGACCTTGAAAATACATGAAGAAATTCAAAATGGGTCTCTTTTATTTTGTTGATGTTAGCACGAATCAATATTTGGGGTTTGATCCTTATATTATTTCAAGCTAGTGGTTGAAATTTAAACACTTATGACTATAGAGAGAGAAGGCGGAGATATAGAGAGAAGAGAATCAAGAAGCAGTCACACATAAGCAGAAGGGGGGAGGAGAAAGATAAAAAAAAATAGGGTTTTAATTAGGCTGAAAAAAGATTTCAAAAAATACACAAATTGGGCTAAAACTGGTACAAATAAGGAAGGTGGGCCTTTTTTGGTAGACTAGATAGATGACCGAAATGTTTTGGACCGTAGTTATTTTAATTACGAGAGGTGGAGGGATACATAATGAGTTATAGACTATAATTGTTTAATGCAAGACTTACCTCTAAACATAAGAAGAAAGAATCATAGCTCTTTGTACTAGTGAAGACTCAAATCCTTGCTTTTCTTATTCTCTTTCTACTTTTAGTTTTTAGGGTAAGTAAAAATAAATTTCAGTACTTGCACCAAGAAGGTGATACGTGCATAATCCTTGCTAATTATAAACCTAATACAAAGGAACAATGATTCCTTGAGCTAATACAGAGAACTGTTCAGAGCATCCAATAAGAAATTGCAGAACGAACAATATCAATTGAAAAAATATATATATATTGCACGTAAATAAGGAGTATCTTCTTGTGCACCACAAGAAAAATATCTTTGGAAACTCTATTAAATGACTGATTAAGAAAATTTAGTCAAGATCCTAAAATGACTAACACTGGGTGGACTTATAAATATATATTGTAAGAATTAATGAATCAAACTTTCATCAACGTCATCCCTACGAAGTTCCATGGTCCAAGTCCAATATAAAATAGGGCTTTCTACGAAATACCAGAAGTGCAGATTTCAGTGATCTAGGTGAACCTGCAACTACATCTTCCGCCAATAAGATGTAGCACGCTTACAATTAGCATTCACACATGCCTATACCAACATGACAGCACATGCAGCCTCTCTTTCCCTTCACTTATTATTGTTGAAAGTGCATTTCAAAATATATATTTTTAATCAGTACAGAAAAATTTCAGGCCTCCACATTAACTAGGGTAAAAGTTTCATTTACCCAGCTGTATATCTTGGGCATGCCTTTGGGAGCCAAGAGCAAATCAAAGGGTATTAGGAATACTGTTCTGGAAAATGTGAGAAGAAGCTTGTCAATTGGAAAAGCCAATATTTGTCCTTGGGTGGTAGAGTCACACTCATCAATAGTGTCTTAGATGTCACCTACTTACATGATGTCCGTGTTTCCTATGCCAGCCAATGTAATGGACAGAATGGATGCTATTATAGCATGATTCACATGATTGTTTGCCAAACACGCTGCTCTGGCTCAAGATAACCTAAAGAAAAGGGGATTTCAACTATGCTCCAGATGTTTTTTTTGTGAAAGTGAGGTAGAAACAATAAATCATCTCTTTCTACATTTTGTATAGATACTGTGATATTGTGGCAGATTTTCATCAACCTAAGGGGCATTAGTTGGTCTATGCCAAGAAACATAAAGTACGCTTTAGCCTGCTGGAATAGGGATGGAAATCAGTCGGGTCACGGGGAGAGATGGAAGATTGTCCATGCATATATATGGTGGACTATCCAGAAAAAGAGGAACCAGAGGTGTCTTGAAGATAAAAGTTGCTCCCTACAAAATTGAAGATGAATTGTCCAGTTGTTTTCTACTTTTGGTGTAAACATGAGTATCCTCAAGAAGAAGAGGATACTCCTAGCATTTTAGATTACTTATGAGATCTAGGAGGTTGTTAGTACTAACGTGGTCTCTGGTTGTAATTAATATTGGGTCACCTTTGGTGTATCCCTTTGTTTATAATATATGTTACCTTTCTCAAAAAAAAAATCATTCCAAAAGACAGCAGAAGATGCTGAAATATGTACATCCAAATTGAAAGAGGAGTTCCATTGATCTTGAATGGAACATTGGAACTAATGACATCTGTCAAAGTTTCAGCCTCATATACATTTTCCATCCTACATCAAAAACTAAGCAAAAGTATAAAGTTAAGCTTGATCTGGTACACTAGACTTTTCCCTCAAAACATATTGGTTTCTCTCTTTCCACAATGTCCACCAAATACAAGCTGGCAGAATGTCCCAGATTCTTCTCTGTTCTTCGCTCAACCTTTTCTTGTGCCAGCAGCTAGCACAATTAGTTGATAATAGAAGTCCTAATTCACCTGATTATGGAATTTATCAACTTCTAATTAAGATAACTACATGTTGGAATGAAAGGAACCGTAGGTGATTTGATGGAATTTCTACTTCTAATATTGACCTTGAAGCTAAGTGCTTACTGAATATATTTAGCTGGGCAATGCAGGCTCCTGTAACTAGTTGTGAACATATTTTTGATGGGGTTTTCTCCTTAGTTGTAGTCTTGCAGATGTAGATTAAGCTAACTTTTGTAATTGAGCAACCTCCCTTGTTATTCTTCCCCTTTGTAATTTTGTTGCATCTTATTGATTCCTTCAATGGATCTCTTCTTACTTCATCAACAAAACAAAAAACTACATGTTGAATGAACATTCATTACACTCGGTTCTTTATGATCAAAAAGCTAACAATTATGCAAGTGACATCGCCTAAAATAAGTAAAACCTGGAGAATCTACTATTTCACAATCTCTCTCCAACTAACGAGCAATGTCTCAAAAGGCTCAAACACATCATGTATTCAACCAACAGTCAATCTTCTCTCAGCAGTTAAATTTACACAAATTCATGTCTCTTATTCAATAAACAAAAATTCTGACCTTTTCTCACTGTAAACTTGGTATGAGCTTGGTTGAGCACACCTAAGCTAAAATGAGCATATCTACTCCATCCATAAGGCAATGACGGTGAATCGGCAACATCCAAATACAATGACAATTGGTCCGCATTGTTCCCTTTAGGGAATATCAATATCCTCCTGCCATACGTAACGCACCGACATCAAATCACTCACATATAAAAAACAATAAAACAATCCATCCAAAAAAAAACACAAAATATTACCATTTATATCCTCCCACATTGAAAACTTCCGAGTATAGCTTCTTCACATTCAACCTCGAAAAGTTCTCTATCGTCCACGCAAACCTACCAGATGGCGGATCATCCACTTGTGGACCCTCCACTGTACTAGCTGTATCCGCAGTCGCAACTAACAACAATTAAAAAAAGCAACTTCAAAAAAACAAAATCTGTAAATCCACAAAGCAACAAAAATAGACATTCAAAAAACATACAAGTAGCAGGAAAAGAAAGAAAAAAAGTGAACACATATAACTACAATCCAGCAAAACTACAATTACATATCAGTGTATAGATATAAAACTACTACAGAAGAACGTAAAAGATTTACCTTCCATAGGCTGCGGACCTTCCACAGGAAAATCCGAATTAGGAACAAGCATCTCCTCGTCTTCAGGCTGCTAAAAAAACAAAAACAAAGCAAAATATTCGATCTCAAGTTACTCCACACTTCCGATTAACCTAATCCCTAGAATTTCACCATTGCCGCATTCAAATCAAAACGTTTACATAAAACTTCACTCCGACATCACTTTTTGATAAAAATTCACCACTTATTCAATCCTATAACTATACAAACCTTTATTCAACAAAAAAAAAACTAAAAAATAAAACTCGAGAAGTTGCGGTGTAAGAGAAGTGTAGAACAGGTAGGAGAGATTACGTACTTCAACTGGAGGAGGAGTCATGAGAGTCATTGCCGGAAAACGGTAGACCGGAAACTCAACAAATCGGCGATGAAGAATGCAACGTAGAAACGATCGAATCGATCCAAGGACTTTCTCTTCAGTTCGAGTCCTTGGGCAAGGCGACGAACAAAAGAAAATTTTAGTATAATGATGAAAGAAGGAAAAATAAATTAAAAGAGGGATTTAAATTGCCAAAGGGTAGTTTGGGAATTTTATTGAACTTTTATTATTCTTATCTTCTTTTTTTTGGTTACTAATAAAAGAAAATAATTTTTTAAATTTCTTATATGTAAAAATAATAATTATACTTCATATAACAGAGTCATAAAATTATAAATAATCTACAAAATTAAATCCTACCCAACTTATACATCTTTGGAGATTTACTTGCCTTATAAATATTTGGAATGTGATTTATTTTGTTGCATGTATTTTATCTTGTCATGGTTGATCATTAGCTTTATTTTTAATATAAGGAAATTCTTTTTGAATTTAACTTGCGAAGGACAGTAATCACTTGCAACTTGAATATAAAAAAATAGTCTTTATAAATATTTTCTGTGTTAAAATTAAAGATTTTTTATAGAAAAAATGTGAATAACTTACAAAATTATTTTTTCTTGATTTATGTGTCTTTTGAAGTTTGCTTACCTTGTATTATTTGCAATGTGATTTAGTACGTTGACTATATTTTAATTTGACCATGAAATTAATGACCTACGAAATCAATTCTCACCAATTTGATAGTAATCACTTGCAACTATTATATATATATATATATATATATATATATATAATAGTCTTTATTAATATTCTATGTGTTAAAATTAGAGATTTTTTATAAAGAAAATTATGAAATTAAAGAAAAAATGTAAATAACTTACGAAATTATTTTTTCTTGACTTATGTGTCTTTTGAAATTTACTTACCTTGTAATATTTGCAATGTGATTTAGTTCGTTGACTGTATTTTAATTTGACCATGAAATTAATGACCTACGAAATCAATTCTCTCCAATTTGATAGTAATCACTTGCAACTTGAATATATTAAAAAATAGTCTTTATAAATATTCTATGTGTAAAAATTAAATATTTGTTTATAAAGAAAATTATGAAATTAAAGAAAAAAATGTAAATAACTTACGAAATATTTTTTTTGACTTACGTGTCTTTTGAAATTTACTTACCTAGTAATATTTGCATTGTGATTTAGTTCGTTGACTCCATTTTAATTTGACCATGAAATTAATGACCTACGAAATCAATTTTCTCCAATTTGATAATCACTTGCAACTTGAATATACATGGAAAAAAAATAGTCTTTATAAATATTCTATGTGTTAAAATGAAAAAAAAATTATAAAGAAAATTATGAAATTAAAGAAAAAATGTAAATAACTTACGAATATTTTTTTTGACTTACGTGTCTTTTGAAATTTACTTACCTTGTAATATTTGCAATGTGATTAATTAGTTCGTTGACTGTATTTTAATTTGACCGTGAAATTAATGACCTACGAAATCAATTTTCTCCAATTTGATAATCACTTGCAACTTGAATATATAAAAAAAAAATAGTCTTTATAAATATTCTATGTGTTAAAATGAAAAAATATATATAAAGAAAATTATGAAATTAAAGAAAAAAATGTAAATAACTTACGAAATATTTTTTTTGACTTACGTGTCTTTTGAAATTTACTTACCTAGTAATATTTGCATTGTGATTTAGTTCGTTGACTCCATTTTAATTTGACCATGAAATTAATGACCTACGAAATCAATTCTCTCCAATTTGATAGTAATCACTAAATACATATAAAAAAAAATAGTCTTTATAAATATTCTATGTGTTAAAATTAAAGATTTTTTATAAAGAAAATTATGAAATTAAGGAAAAAATGTAAATAACTTACAAAATTATTTTTCTCGACTTATGTGTCCTTTGAAATTTACTTACCTTGTAATACTTGCAATGTGATTTAGTTCGTTGACTGCATTTTAATTTGACCATAAAATTAATGACCTACGAAATCAATTCTCTCCAATTTGATAGTACACTTGCAACTTGAATATATATATATATATATATAAATAGTCTTTATAAAAATTATATATGTTAAAATTAAAGATTTTTTATAAAGAAAATTATGAAATTAAAGAAAAAATGCAAATAACTTACAAAATTATTTTTTCTTGACTTATGTGTCTTTTAAAAATTACTTACCTTGTAATACTTGCAATGTGATTTAGTCTGTTGACTGTATTTTAATTTTACCATGAAATTAATGACCTACGAAATTAATTCTCTCCAATTTGATAGTAATCACTTGCAACTTGAATATATATAAAAATAGTCTTTATAAATATTCAAAGTGTTAAAATTAAAGATTTTTTTATAAAGAAAAATATGAAATTAAAGAAAATATGTAAATAACTTACTTTATAAATATTCAAACTGTTAAAATTAAAGATTTTTTTATAAAGAAAAATATGAAATTAAAGAAAATATGTAAATAACTTACGAAATTATTTTTTCTTAACCTATGTGTCTTTTGAAATTTACTTACCTGATATACTTGCAATGTGATTTAGTTCGTTGATTGTATTTTAATTTGACACCTACGAAATCAATTCTCTCCAATTTATTTTGTTGTCTGGATTTCAACTTGTCATGGTTGATTTAGCTTCCAAATGATGGTAGTCACTTGCAAATTGAAATAATAGTTTTAAACAAATGAAAACTTATTAAATCATTTATGAGTAAAAATAAAAAAAAATTATCAAAAAAAAGGACCATGAGATTAAAAAATATATAAAGTAAACTACCTACAAAACTAAATTCTCCTTAATTAACTTATGTCTGTTTAGGGAATTACTTACCTTCTAAATATGTGCAATATGATTTATTTTGTTGTCTGCATTTTAATTTAATCATTAAATTAAAAAAAGAAAAGAAATTGTAACTGACCTACAAAATCAATTCTCTCTAATTTGACTATATTTTGAATTTTTTTTACCTTATAAATATTTGCGATATAATATAATTCTCTCTAATTTGACTGTATTTTGAAACTTTTTTACCTTATAAATATTTGCAATATAATCTATTTTGTTGCATGCATTTTATCTGGTCATGATTTATCATTTACTTTACTTCCAATTTTGACAAATTATTAACTTCATTACATTGTCATTTGCTAGCATATGTCATTTTAGTTTTTTTAAAATAAAGATAAGACAAATTATACAAAATATATTTGTAGCATGGCTTAAGTGTAGATACAAGTTACAACCCCCGTTTTTTATAGGCAAGATTCAATCTTTATATTGATGCTTATTTCTTAATCTATACAATTATAATCTTCTATATATAAAAATACTGCTTGAGAAATATATATTTTAAGAAGTATTTAAGTATTTGTTTTTGAAAAACATTATTTGTAGAAAAGCTATAATAAGATTCTCTTTTAGACAATTATATTGCCCATTATAAGTTGAATGACTCAATTATTCCTACGATAAATCATCTTTTTAATCAAGAATATAAGTGAAAATAAGAAACACAAATGCTCTCTGAAGCAACTAATACAACAACCAATAGCTTCAAAAACGTTTAAAGGACATAAAATAAACTCCCACAAAATATTAATTTCAATAAGCACACGTATTTATCTCAAGTTCTTCAAATTGTAGCTTATATGTAAGAGATATATTTGTTTTTCACTCAACTAGTCTATTAGTAATAAAATAGAATAACTACAAACAATAATAATATATCTAATGCAATTTTATATATTAAATTACAAAGACACAACTTTTTTATATATCAACTTTATGGATAATACTTACTTTTCACTGATATTTTTTGGTCATATTTGTGATTTAAAAAATAATAATAAATTTTGTTCAAAATAGACATCAACTTTTTTATTAAAAAAATTACACTCTAAATCTTGTTTTTTTTATGAACAATTTTATTTAGGCTATCAATTTCAAAAGTTTAATCTCATCACTCTTCTTTTGAAAGTTTAGTATTATTTCATTATTACTAAAATGAAAGAATTAAGCTCGTCTTAGATTCTTAAATTGCAATTAAAGTAACTGGAGCACTTATTCAACGAATAGTGAAATAGGTCAAATAAAAAACTACTCAATATAATATATTAAATATATATAGTTCTAACTTTTTTGAATTTTGTACATACAAGTTATTTCAATTTTGTTTAATTGACATATATATATAGATTTAACATATTTTTATTGAGGGTGCTTTTTCATTTTCTCGCTCAAATAAATTTAAGTGAAGATTTGTGTGTGTGATTTCTATGTATAAATAAATTAAAGGTTTAAAGTGTTTAGTTTCGAAAATAAGGATATACTATACTTGGTAGCATTTTCATCATAAATGAGATATGGATATGTGATTTTAAAACACAAAAATGCATTTGCAATAAAGCCGAGTAATTTACTCAAAAAGCTTTGTGATAACATAAATGTTAAGGTTACTGAGTGTTTTATTTTGTTGAAGATATTCATTTTGTTCTCTTTTACTTGTTGAATTGTGTTTTGTGCCCCCTCAAAAATCAATTAAAATATTTTACAAATTTTTCTTATTAGTTATGTTTTAAAAATCTAAATTTGATTCTCAGTACTTTAGTACATTTCGAAAATAATAATTTAATAAAAGTGAAATTGAAAAAAGTAAAAAAGAATGTAGAAAGTAGTAGTAGTTTAAGAAGAAATCAATATGCTGTGGGTATTATTATTTTTTCAGATTTTGTTCTCTTTTTCACTTTTTTACTTTTAATGTTGCTGGGAATTTGTACTATTTTTAAGGAATAATTGTTGTCTATGTTAAGAGTAATTGAATGCATTTTGTTTTCAGTACAAGTCATGTCATATTCTCCCAAAAGTTTAACTTGGTTAAAGTTATCAATCAAGCAATAACTTATTTGGCCAAGATTTAAAACTCTTTATTTTTAGAAGTATTTTTTAATTAGAAATTGTCTGTTTACCTTGGTAATAGATAAATTGATGCGACATATTTAAGATGGTGTGTCATGGTATATATTATTTGCACATGACATAGTATTGTTTGACAAGATTCATAGCGGAGATGATTAGAGACGGA